AGTCCTAAAGATAAGTGTCATATGAAATAATGAAGCCTTATAGTTAAAAGAAACCTTAAAAGCAAGTTAATCCAACCACCCATCCAATGATATCACTAGACCTGGGTTTCATCAATGCCTTTCCAAACTATGTAAAATAAATGTCAATATCTCTTACTAAGATACAAGAAATGGTAGGACAGAATTAACTTTCAATAATGATCTACATTGATCCAAAATAGTATCAAGTGAAATTTAACCTTTACATTCATTTGCATTCAAAAACAATTATGTCATTTCCTTCACAGAAGACTTTTAGAATGAGTTATTTTTAAATGTTTAGGACCCCATTCTCTCACTATGTAAGTATTTTCTCAAACTAAAGGATATTTTTTTAAAAAGTTTCTTTCTTCATACATTAAGTTACTTGTGACTTACTGTTTATAACACAAGCTCCTTGAGTTGCTTTTCTAGCTGTGGCATTTTACACTTTCAGCTTAACAACTGGTTTAGTCTAACGTGGCCTCAACTCCTGGCCTACCTCCACCCACCCACCTTGATGGCAAATGTAGCGCAATGGGATTGAATTTTTCTCTAAGCAGACTGACTCTTCCAAGTGGGTAATGAACTCATGAAGAGGTAAACACCTAACCCTTTTCTTTGACAGATGGCCTAGAGATTTTAGTTTTCATTCTGACATGTTAATTTACAAATCCATAATATTTTATAGCATGTCTACCATTAATCACAAGAAGTCATTCATTTCTGTTTGGGCTAGGAATTCACTTCAGTAGGGCAGAACATAACATGTTGTCAACCTAAAATTTTGATGAAATATTTTATGGGAGTAGATTTGATTTTGGAAAGTTTTATCAATTTTGATCATTTCAAAAATGGTTGCAATCTCCAATGAAGGCAACCCCTAAATACGTTCAAAAAACCTAGTGAAAGACAGCTATACAAAGTAGTGGAGTTTCTATCTCACTTAATCACTGGGTTACTAATTTAGACTGCTCAGTTTCTTAACATTTTTCTGTTTATAAAAATAAAGCTAGCTTATCATAAAAACAAAAAGATTTAGAATGCAGAAACTGAAAACTATCCATAATTCTACCACCCAAAATATGGAAACAATCTGTTAATATTCTTGTACCTCTTTCTGTTTATTCTCCGCATTTTTTAACACACTTGAAACCATACAATACAAAATTTCCAGTTCTGCTTTAAAACTTAATAGTACAGCTGTTAACAATTCTATAAGAAGATTTATTTAACCATTTGTCTACTGTTGGACACAAGTTGTTTTTTTTTTTTTTTTTTTTTTTTTTTTTTTCCTTGCGTTATGCGGGCCTCTCACTGTTGTGGCCTCTCCCATTTGCGGAGCACAGGCTCCGGACGCGCAGGCTCAATGGCCATGGCTCACGGGCCCAGCCGCTCCGCGGCATGTGGGATCTTCCCGAAACGGGGCACGAACCCGCGTCTCCTGCATCGGCAGGCGGACTCTCAAGCACTGCGCCACCAGGGAAGCCCCACAAGTTGTTTTTAATTTTCAGTATTCTAAAAACACAACATGAAGATACTTGTGCATAAAACTTTTTCTGTATTTAGGACATATATTTAAACACATATTCTTACCAGATTCTCCAGCACTGAAATGATCAAATGGATTCCCTTCGGCATCCGGGTTTAGTAACATCATTTCAAATGAGATATCTTCCACCTGAGAATACTCATTGTCCTCTTTGCACGTATACTTGTCTGCATAGAACACGTGCCACATTTGTGGATATGGAATCTGAGACACTGTCAGATTATGTTCAGTCTGATTCATGGCTACTTTAAAGAGAAAAAAATAGCACTTTCAAAGCAAAATTCTCAACTGTATTCATTGTTTTAGTCACATAATCAATTTGAGATGAGAATTCTTTTGTTTAGTCCTTATTGTCTCAGTAGTCCAAGCCTTGATGTAGTACTGGAATAAGTTCTGTAAGTCATAAAGCAGGCAAAAATAAGGTATTTTAACCAACCAAAGGAATCACTATAAAAGTTCTATGAGATACCACAAATGACCAGAATAGTTTCACTGAAACTCGGAATTTCAATTTTAAGTATTTTCAAAGTTTTCAAATGAGTTAGCGACACTAAAAATTATTTTGTTGTGGTGGTAAAATGTACACAATACAAAAGTTACCATTTTAACCATTTTTAAGTGTACAGTTCTGTATTAAGTATATGCACAATGCTGTGTAACCATCACAGTAACATTTCTGCGAATTACTTGAGTTAAATTTAAAATGGAGCATTCAACTTTGGAAATTATTATATTTAAAAACTATGACTGACAAACACCTTCAAAAGATTTTCCAAAATCTCTTCCTGATTGGTTATTCTTTAAAAAGGTACTAAAAAAGGTACTAAAAGTAGAAAAATAGAAGTTAAAGGAATATGAGTTGTTATACTGGGTCACATCTATATAGTGTGTTGGGCTGGGGTGGGAACTCATGAATGTTGGCCTCACACAGACCTGTGCTTGCATCCTGGCTCCAATACCTACCTTCTATATGACTTTGGGCAAGTTACATAAGCAATGACACTCACTTTCTTCATCTGTAAAATGAAGATAATACAGCAAAGAGCTGATGCAAGGACTAAGTTATGTGAGTCACTTAACATGGTATCATGGTCATACAGCAGCTGCTGAATAAAGGTTAATTGTCCTTTTCCTTTCTTTAAAATATTGTGATTATACAAATAAGTGGTTCTCAATCCAGGGTAATGCTACTCCTCTGCAGGGCATCTGAAAATGTGTAGGGACAGTTCTGTTGTCACAGCAATTGTTCTCAACTTCAAGATACTTGAAGCGGGGCTGTGCTAAACCTCATACAATCCACACTTACATGACAAAGACCTGTTCTGCCCAAAATGCAAGTAGCACCCCCTTTGAGAAACACTAAATGATGTCTAAGATCCCTTCTCGATCTAAAACTATGATTCTGACCTAAGAGAAACTCACTACTACCCTGAATGTTGTAGGAAAGTGGCGTCTCAAACACTATGTGTAACAAAGACAATGGAAGAGTTAGAGAAGCAAGTCTTAGGAATCATATTCATTACTTAACCTCTCTAAATTTCTTTCTTCAGTAGTAAACTTAAGATACTTGCCCTATCTGACTCAGAGTTCTTGTGAGGAGCAAATGAGACAGTATATGAAAGTCCTGTGTGAAGAGTCTGATTCTCTATAAAGTAGAGTATTCTTAAAATATATGATTATGTTGGGTGCAATTCCCAAGTCTAGATTGCCCGCACTGCATGCCAGTCAGTCTTGATCTTTTCCTCAACTGAAAAAATGCAACTTTTTAATAAATAAAATACATTTCTTGAGATAACTGTGGAAATTTGTATATGGAAGAGATTTTAGAGGTTATTATGAAATTATTCATTTTCTTAGATGCAGTAATGGTATTGTTATGGTAATGGTAATGGTTATGGAGAAGAATGTCCTTACTCTTAGAAGATGTATGCTGAAATACGGTGAACTGCTCAAGGCACCCACAGCTTATTTCATTTCAGTTAAAAACAAAAATCACACACATACAAACATAAAGCAAATGTAACAAAATATTATTGATAAAATTATTAAATCTAAGCCAAGGATATACAGATGTTGGTTGTACTATGCTTTCAACTTGTATGTATAATTGAAAATTTTCCTAATAAAAAGTTGGAGAAATATTATTTATACGTTGTCTTTATAAATGAGATACAGATTTATCTTGTCAGAATTCAAATTTTGAGGACTTAAACTTTACATTTGGGAATTTCATTGATAGTAGTTAAACTGGACAAGATGATTTTGTTAAGAATACCACAGCATTGATTTTTTGGATAGCTTAATTTAGCTGACATTTATACTGTTTTTCTTACTGCACAGCTTCTAGAAAAAAGTAGCAAAGACTCTAGTTTCTGTTAAATTGATGACCTTTAATAAGAATTCAATATATGATCAATAGCAGCTCAGAAATAAGGCTTTTGAAATGCGCAGCTCGAAATTATGTAATCTGGACTTCATTATATAAAGGCTTTGCTGTGTTGAGGTTTTATCACTTGCACTTTTTCTCTTAGATAAAACAATATAAAAATTTAACCATTATACTTTCACCTACACTTTTTGATGTTTCATTTTAAATTATGTAGATCTACATCAAATAAAAACAAAAGTGTGCTTCATGAAGTGATATTGGCCTTAGTTTTTGTCTTGCTGCCTTTTTCAGTATGCCTAGGAAATAAGCCTCTTGACAAAACTGCATGTTCATTGTTTTTGAAACAAAAGACTACAGCACAGCACGCTTATTGTATGCTGATGTAATGAGTACCTCAAATATTAACAAAACTTGAATTGCAGAGAATGGTGTTGAAAGGCTATCGCCCAATAATATTATAGAAGAAATGAATACTGTTAACAAAATTACCCATAATAATAAAATACTAACACCTTTAAGTGATTTATACAATATACCAAATGTACAAGAGGAAATATATGCATATGATGTAAAAAGATAATACTGAAAATGTTTTATATACAAAGTTACATTTAATTCTTATAATCTGACAGCAAATTTTTCTGCATATAAACTCATCATTTTCTGTGCATTTAAATATCTTCTTTGTTTGCTTTAAAAACCTACAAAATAGTTTTTATCATTTAAAAAAATCTGATGTTTTATGACATTACTGAAAGAGAAAAAAGCAAAAAGTAAAACAAAAATAATTTCTCAAACATTAATTTGGGAGAATGTATAATCACAAGCAACATTCAACACTGAGATTTTTCAAATCTACTAATCTTTTCATAGTTTACAGCAGCAATAAGGTTTTACATAGGAGTTAGGCATAGTTAATGGGCTCATCACCAAGTAGGTGAAAGGCTATTAATTCTTAAAAGTCTCATTAATGGTCAGGAAATGAGAATTATTTCTATAAGGAATTATTTTCAAATATGTGATACTACTACACTGTCATGAATTTAAGGATATGCTTTTTGTTTCAATGCATCAAAGCTTCTAAATAACAATATACTATAAATATGAAAATAATATATAAAAGTTGGAGAACAGAAAAGTTGGAGATTTTGTTAAGACTTGGCTTTTGTTACGGGAAAAAGAACTGATTACATATGTAGAAAGTGATATATATGTCATTAGTACTCAATTTATTTCAGACCTCCAAATTTAACAAAAAATCTTCATTCCTCAAAAATTCCAGTTTCCTGAGATCTTCCGTTCCAACAATTCCAAAGAATACCCTTGCACTTAAGAGTAGGGAAGAGGAAGGGAAAACAGAAAAAGAAACAACAGCAAGAGGGTTTATAAATTATAGCTCTCTACATATGCAACTCCACCTAAAGAGTCATAATCAGAATCACAGCGTTTTAGGATTTTTAGGAAGCTTAGAGAAAACTAGTCCAACTTCCTTGTTATACAGATAGGTGAAGTGCAGCTCAAAGATAACAAGATCTTATTACAAGTTACTAGCAGTGATTCTCAAGTTTAGCTGTCGTTGCAATGCAGCAAGTCTCTCTATATATGTAAGTTCTGTGACTGAAGGTATTTGACTGATAAAAAAATTATGTTTTTGCAAGTGTATATAGTATATGGTAAAATACTGATCATGTAATATAAGAAAACAAATCGATTCCTATAGCTCAAAGCTTTAAACTGTCTAATAAGTTACTATTTCATTTAATTTCACTTTATTTTATTTGGCTGTGCCGGGTCTTAGCTGCGGCACTCGGGATCTTCCTTGACGCACGTGGGATCTTTAGTTGCTGTGTGCAGGCTTCTATCTAGTCGTGACCTGTGGGTTTTCTTTCTCTAGTTGTGGTGTGCGGCCTCAAGAGCACGTGGGCTCTGTAGTTGAGGCGCTCGGGCTCGGTAGTTGTGGCATGCGGGCTTAGTTGCCCCGCAGCATGTGGGATTTTAGGTTCCCTCACCAGGGATCGAACCCACGTCCCCTGCACTGGAAGGTGGATTCTTCACCACTGGACCACCAGGGAAGTCCCTGATAAGTTTTTAATAGAGAAAGAAAAAGACTTTGAGGTGCGAAGTACAAAGCAAATGACCTACTAACCAAAAACCCCTCAAGCACTAAGTTCCATGACAATTCATCCTACAAATACTTAGTCAATGCTTAACTGAGCACTAGTGTACCATAAATTCTCACTCACAGTACCATGTAACTAACATTCATAGTCCTTATCACAATAGCAGTTTCACATTTATTCACAGTGAACTTATTTATACCCTCAGCCACCTTAAGGACTGTGAGAGTGTCAGTATTTTGGTCCCTTGATGTATCACTAGTGCCTAGCCTAGTACTGGAAGTGCTGTGAATGAATGAATGAATGAATGAATAGACCAAAAGAGCCCTGCTGCTCTCACTGATTGATTTTATAACAAACAAATAAAATGTAAACTTGCAACTAAAATAAATGCCGTGGAGGAGAGCAACGGGCTCTAGAAGCTCAAGTGTTAACTTAGTGGATGGACGAGCCACAGAGCGGAAGGAAGAAAAAGCGGAGGAAAAGCCTGTGCAAAGGCCCAGGGTGGCACTGAAACAACACCTGCACTACAAATAAAATGAGGCCCAACGGGGCAGTGCTGTGAGCTGAAGCTGGGGTCGGGGGTAAGCAACAGCCAGACTCGGACAGCTCTGCTGATCAGATTAAGGAGGGCCGCCTTTGTCCCAGAGCAGTAGGAACCCACGGAAGTACTGAGGGGCGTGGTGAGGATGCCAATGTGACATGATCAAACCTGCCATTCAGAAAAATCACTCTGATTCCAGAGGGGGACCAGCATAGCTGCAGTGGCCAGGTAGGAGCTACTGCAATAGTACAGGCGAGAGCTTACGGCAGCCTGGAATAACATGATGGGGTTAGAGATGAAGAAAAGTAGATGAATTCAAGAGATACTGAGAGGTAACTTACGAAACAAGAAGGGGATAACTGGGAACAGAAGGCTAGGACATTTTATACATATGTGGAACACCTAGATGATTAAATTGGTGTAGAAAGGAAAAGAGAATTGATAATGAGCATTTGTATGAATTTCCCAGGTAAGTTCTAAAATTCAGGGTTGAGGTAAATAACTTTATGCAACTGTCTCTTTGATATCTGAATCCAGTCATTCAGGCTTCTTCAGCATACTGTCAATGTCATCTCACAAACCTAGACAAAAGATCCCCACAACGGGTGGCAATGACTGGGGACTTGTACTCTTATCCCTACTCAGGTTATGAGGGAACCAGACAGCTGCTAAGACTAAGAAGACTGGATGTTTAGAAATGGCAGTGCTTTACTGACTAGACTGAAAGAAGAGTCAGAGACTCATCATTATGCAGAACATGGTAGTGGAAACACAGGGGGAAAGGGGAGAGGGGTAATTCCTATTTTTTTCTCATGGATGTCTCATATTCCTAATTAACAACCAGTTAACTTCAAAGGGGTAAAATGGGTAGCATGGCATTTGCTCTTCATCTCTGTATTAAAAAGATCTGCACTCACTCTGGATGGCAAACACCCTAATGCATGGGACAGTGTTGATGAGAATGGAACAGCTCAAGAATTCAGGCAACTAGAATAATAAAAGTAGAGCCTCTCCAGAGGCAAACCTAGAGGTTTACAAATGATGTGGGGCTGGTATATTCTAAAATGACACATCGTGTCACCATATGACTTGGTCCCAAGTCCCAATAACATGTTGCAAAACAGCATCACTTGGGCTAAATTATACAATTAACTGAGATAATGCAAGCTTAGTGTTTAGCTCAGTGCTACCAGATAATAAGCATTCAACAAATGTTATCATTCACTCCACGCTGCCACTTGGTCAAAATATATCTGCCATATTGGTATGAATTATGTGACCTGTGAGAAGTCTGAATGTAGGAAAGTACACCTTTATAAATTATCTGGATAGTTTTTCAACTATTTTGAATAAGAGGGGAAAAAGGCATTCTATCTTTTGATCAAGGAAAAGATTAGTTTCCTTAAACTTTAGCTTAAAATGTACTCAACAGAGTGTGATATGTGCTGTGCCATGAAACATCTAGATATGTAAATACTATACTCCCGACATTAAGGAAGAAAAAAATACACATAATGATCAAAGAAAGAAGGATATACTCACTTGTCAACTGAGCTTTGGATAATTTTTCGCTACAACTATAACCATGACCGCTTTCCTGCAGCTTTAGCCATTCCTGGGCTTGGAACAGGTAGAGTTTAGCTTCCTTTCCAATGGCTACTGCTATGTCATTGATTCTGACACAGAGAAGAGCATGGTCACCTGGACATTAGAACAAAAATTATCAACTGGTTTGGTCTTGTATGGAACTGAGACGGCAGGACAATTCAATACCTCTATTTATCAAAATGGGAATTAAAAGAGCACAGTTTTTCTGAAATCTCATTTTAGCTAGGTAGGTCACATTAGAATGACCATCCCATTCAGGTGCAAGTCAAGAGATTATTCACATTAATTATCCAAAACAATGTGTGGTGTTTCCTTATACTTCAGCTGATAACTCATGGTTTTTCACTGAATAAACAGCCACTTCTGTATGCAGCCATTCACTGTGATAGAATTTTGCCTCATTTTACAACCACTCCACATCTTTAACACTTGCCTATAAACTATCCATAGAAATTTCCTGCCAAAGTTTCTTTTGTTTTTTAATATAACATGGCTGTTAATATTTAATTATTTTTTAATATAAAAAACAAAAACATCTTATAGCAAGAAAGGTTAAATAAATGAGTTTTGGGGTAGACCTGATACAAAATTTGACATCTGTGACTTTTACAAAGGAATTTTCAGAACAATACACGTTGTAAGACAACTATAGAATGAGCCTTGTTGCACACAGCAACTACATTTAAGGCCCAGGAGAGAAAATAGAAAAAAGTAGTTGCCTCTAGGGAAAGGGACTCTGGGTGAGGAGAAGGGAAACAGGGCTGTTTTTTCATCTGATGATCTTTTTATTCTCCTGTTTCTGTTGTTTTTACTAGTATCACTTTGACTAAACATTTTAAATAAGTTTAAAGTTATAGTATGTATCAAAAAACGTCTAAGTCTCTGATATAAACTAATTACGTTATAAATTATCAACAGCCTTAAAAGTGACTCTAAGGCCCTATTAACATCTTAAATCACATTCTGAATTAGAGTTCATATTTCAGTACTGTATGGTCTTAGTGTTATTATTTTCCTGAATTCGAATTCACTGAAAATTGGTAATAGTAAAACTACACACACACAGATAGAAAGTGTGTATGTTAATATACTTGGAACACTCTATTCCTATCTTACCTGAGAAATCTGGATTTACTACATGTTTCTCCTCTATGTTTATCAGGTAATCACCATGAAATATCAGGGTTGTCTAAACCTGTCTGGGAGTCACGAGTAACAAGCCATATCACAGCTTCCATACATGCCAGATTTTCTGGTACTGTCCAGATTGTACCATTTATTGTAGTGACATTACTATCACTGTCAATAGTCAAAGTATAGTTACAGCCAGTTAATTAAGTAACTGAAAATGTTACCTAAAAAAATAATAAAACTCTCGAGTTTCTTCTTCATTCACCCAAGGTCTACTCCACAATAGATTTTGTTAAATGGATTGCATCTCCTTTTCTCAGTTATTTTTAAAACTTCAGATTAAAAATAATAAAGTTTCCCTTCCCTTCACACCAACAATTCTGTAATTCAATACTTTAAATTTCTTTCCCAACCAATTAGCTTCCTGTTTTTATTATCTTCTCCTAAGAATCCTCTCTAGGACAGTATTCTGATCTTGCAACTTTTAATGCTAAAGACTCTATGAATCAAGGATCCTAACCTCATCAAAGCAAATAATTATTTGAGATATAGTAGTAGTCAAATTAAGTAGTATATACCAAGAAAAATATTCAAATTTTGAGGGTGCAAATAAATAAAGCAAAAATTAGAAGGAATGCAGATTCATTCATTGAAGAATTATGGATTTTTGAGGGAGACCAGAAGGGAAGAATTGAATACAATCTCATTTCAGAAGGGCCACATTGGATACAAATTCTGAAGCTTCCAGGATACACTTGCACGCATTTCTGTAAAGTTCATTCTAGGCCTAGTGGTCCACAGTAAAGCTACTCCTTTTATAGGGAGGTAACCAAACTGTCCCAGCAATTGTGACAACGAGATTATCAGGTGCTTTTGGGGGAGGGGTGGGTGATTCCAAAACCTCTCTGCTGCAAGTAGGTTTTAGCAAACTGATCTTAAGACAAAAAGAACAAAACCCAGGAAATCTAAGTTCTGGGACTTCACGAATTACGGTGCCTTAGTGTATACAATCTGGCTGAGAACGGAGCGAGCAGGGGATGCTTCTTTGAGCGAAGGATCTCGAAACTGGCAGCAGGAGAGTCATCAGCGCATTCGTTAGGACAGGGAGGATTGGGAAAACGGTCTTTTAGGTGCACAACACAGCCACTAACCGGGGGAGGTGCTGACAAGGATCTGGGGAACAGCAACACAGGGGCTGGCCATAAACGCATCCCACGATTCAGGGAAGCTGTGATGGGGGCGGCTGCCGGCCACGCGGGAAGCGCAGGTGAGCTGGGTGAAGTCCCCAGCCTCGCCGCCGCCGGCTCCCGGCTCCCCACGCGAGGCGGGGAGGGAGGGGCCGCGGGATGGGTCCACGAGCCTTCATCCCTCTCCCCGCCCCCGCACCTACCGTGGAACTCGAAGTGGCCGATGCTCTGGCCCTGAGAGTCTCGGGCCGCGGCGCTGCTGAAGCTGCCTCGCAGCGTCTTACCCTGGCTGCCGGGTGGCCACCAGCAGCAAGTGAAGGCCACCGCCAGCAGCCGCAGCCCCCCCATCCCCGCCTCCTGCTCTGCCCCCACACCCCTGCCCCTAACCGCCTGTGGCCGCGGCCCCACGTCTACAGCTTGAGATGGGGAGGTGAGGGGAGAGGGACCGGCGTCGCGGGCCCACCCCCGGGGGTCTAACAGCCAATGAGGGAGCCCCTCCACCACGAGCCAAGGATACCCACCAATCAGAGGCTGAAATGGGAGGGACTACAGATATGCAAGTCCCATCACTCCCCGGCCTTTTGGCTAGTTCCCGCCTTTTTTATGGAGACGCAGGAGGATGTTGCTTCAGGTTACGGAAAAATTATTGCCCTCCTGCCTTCCGCGCGCGTGGTGCCATTGCGCATGCGCGGGCGCGCGGAGCAGGCCCGAAAGGTTTCCAGGGATGTGTGGGATTCGAAAAGAACTAAGAAACACACAACAGCAACGTTTCTGGTGAGGCGAGGAATACTCCAGCAAAGAAAGCCCTACGTGTGCATGTAACGTACTGGACATTTCCAATTTAATGTCTCAAAAGCACGTAACTGCCCCTGTCCATTTAACGCCTGGCCTCTCGGCACCTTCAACCGACTTTTTCCTCCTAGGTTTCCTGTCTTCTTGAGCTATGCCATCATCCAACAGGCCAGACAGCTGAAAATTATAGCGACACCAACCCCCCCCCTCCTTACCACCACCCCTCATACCTCTACATCCAATCAATTCAATGAAACAGAAGTTTATTAGCGCCTCTTCTGGACGGTTAGGTTAGGAAGTGCCAGCACTATTCTATGCAGGCCACCATCTTACCATTATTTACTTGGCCTATGGCAACTAACCTGGCAACAGTCAATTTTCTCGAAGTGGTTACACACAGTCTATCTCTAGCCTAGTACCACAGAAAGCTTTGGGAAGCGCAATATGACTGTATCGCTTTCCTTCAAAGTCTCTCAGTTGCCTTAGGACATAACCCAAACTCTTTAGAATATGACTTTCAAGTCTCTCGAATTTGCATCTCTCAACAGTTGATGTCCATCCTTACTGAGCCACTGTCAGTTTGCTAAACACACTCCAATTTCTCCCCTCTGGGCCTATAGCACTTGCAGATTCCTCCTGCTGGAATACTTCACACATTCTACCATTCAGACTCCACTTCATCTCCTTTTCCTACTTTACTTTCCCAAGGCACGGTAAGAAGTCTTTCTCAAACCCTCAAATCTGTGTTAGATACCCCTGGTACCAGACTCCCTTACTGCCCTACCAGGGCAGTTACCACACTATTTTGTAAATGACTATTGATTTATCTGAATCCCTTACTATATGGTAATTTCCAGCTGGTCAGAGACTATGTCTGTCTTGTTTTTTTTTTTTTTTTTTTTTTTTTTTTTTGGG